GCTTGGGGGAAAAGCTTCGATGCGCGGGATCGGACGGCAAATGGTCGTCGAACATGGAACGAGATTGTCTCCGGGCACTGACTTCTTCGTTGGGCTCGGATGCCATGCTGAACTAGCCATGCATGTACAATGGTGCAGTGCTTGCAATTGTACTAAGTCATTTTTCTTTCCAGGGAATGCTACCATGCAAACTTAAAGGTTCCAATATCCGATGTTTTGGTCCCGATGAAAAAATCTGTGATGGATGACACCGTGATCGAGCGGCCACTCTGGTGTTGAATCGGGCCCTGGGTTTTAGGGTTTTATTTTTTCGCAGGGGCACGGGTAGGGCAGCTAGGTTTCCAGAATCCGGAGCTCCACACCTCTGGCCTGTTAGGAAACTCCCTGTCGTTCTGCCTCACCACCTTCTACAGTATCTGCATGAAAAGGGAATTGCAGATGATGTCTTCGATGAGGAGAAGACCCGTGCATACTGGCGCCATGTGGTGTCAAACACAGACTGGGGTGCAAGCCACCCTTGTGCTACATCCCCCAACTTGACCGTTCCTTTGTTCATTTATGGAGATGATGTCAAATTCAACACCTTGGAAAAATTGACGTGCGTGTACCTGGGATTCATACTGTCCGACAAGAAATGCCTTTCTATGCGAACACACCACCCCATGTTCATCGTTCGCGAGGCTCGGGCCTCGGGCTCTTTCTTACATGACCATGCAACCGAATTCCTAGCTAGCACTTTGTGGTACAAGCCCTGCCATCTTATAAGATTAAACCCTTGGAGGTGCTGAGCTGCGGTGCTGCTACCGTGCAGGCCTACCTGAAGCCGGTGCCCTTGAATGCATCTAACAGCTAGTGTCTGAATAACCATTATAACCATACAGGTTCCAGTGCAAAACCCTATATGCCTCACCCTACCCAAAAGCCAAATAAATTAGGCCCCAACCTGTGCTTTCATTGCAAGGTAGTCGCCTCGCTGAACGTGGCGCTGCGTGGTTTCGCTCCAGAGATGCCAATCCTTCAAGATGGTGTGTGCAATGACTTGGACCCGCCATGCAGCAACCGACCATTGGTGGTCAAGAATGACAGTATGCTCCAGTTTGCCTTGTGTGAGGCACGAGCAGATTGGAAGTTTTTCAAGGCAGGATGCTATAATCGATATCAACAGCCTTTCATCCCCAGACCCCAGGGAGGATCCACAAAGTAGATCCCTGAAGGGTTCCTAAGAATGACCCATAGAGGACTAGGGTACTATTTGGGGGATCCATATAGTGCCTACTTTTTGGATTCTTTCGGAGGTCTGGGTTAATATTACGGTTTAGGGTTTAGGGTCAGGGGCTAGGGTCTAGGGTTTCTTGCGAACAAATATGTGTATTGTGATCATGATTGGCAGGAGTGGTTTGGGCTACGCACCGGCTGGAATTCCCGGCAACTATGCCATCACTGTTTCGTAGATCAGAATAATCCGTTCGAGGTACCGTCTGTGCTCCACAATCGACCCCGCCGCAGTATGCAGAACTTCGCAGACGAATGCGTGCAGCAGCTGCCTCCGGTTCGTGAGAGAAGTTTCTTTGCAGCACAGGCCTAGGGGGCTCTAGTCTCTTTTTGCTGGTTTCGGTTTTGAGGCTACATGCTGGAGATTGTGGGCTTCAAGCACACAATGATGCGGTGGTGCTCTCTCCACAGCATCAACTTGGGAGTCCTTGTTTGGGCCTGTGGTGGATGTTTGGAGATGCTACTGCAGGAGGCTACTGCAAACCAGTTGTTTAATTTTGTATAGCATTTTTTTTGTTTTGGGAAGTAGTTGAATCCTCTGCAGGGCATTTGGCATGGACAGTCGAAAGCCGCGAAGCTGAAGTCTGCCTATGTCGATTTTTGCCAGTGGGCTGCCGAACACAAGATCGTGTGCCTGTGATCGATTATATTCAGAGACGTTCTAGTTTACAACCCTAAACCTGAAGCCCGAAACCCTAATAAGCCCTAACGTGTGGTCCAATTCTAAGTGTCCAATATTGCAAGGCATTCCCAGCCGCTCTTCCAGCCGAAACACCTTCGGGGGCAGGCTGGTGTCGAGCTCGCCGCGAAGGCTTACAATGTGCCTGAGCTGGCAGGGGTATCGGCCTTCAGGTTCCACGGTTTAAGGGTTTAGGGTTTAGGGTTTTGGGTTTAGGGTTTAGGGTTTAGATTTGTATAGGGCCATATGGTGTTGAGCTACTGCAGGCTCGTGTGGTGACGAGCTGGTTAGCAGACCTCGTGACAAGTCTGATCCACCTGGAAGCCTATGACAACATGGAGAACTTGGTCCGCTTGGCGCAGTGTATGTTGCTGGTCTGATGTCGGGTGGGTGGCACTCCGTATAGGGTTTGCTGGTTTGACATTTCATGGAACATGTCGAGTTCCCGAGGCACTTTCTCTCAGAACTGATGAACACAGTGGAGTGTGCCCCACGCTACTTGGATGACACCCACATCGAGGCTCTCAACTATTGCGCAAATGCTGCGTTGGCAGCCTATGGCATTCTGGGGGCGCAATGCGTGGCCATGGGTGATGGGCTTCCACTATTTCAGGTCCGCCCGAAGCTGCATGTACCCTGGCTAGGGCTTCTAAGCTTGGGTAGGCTTCTGCTAGGAATCCTAGACAGATGCTCAAAATTGGCAGCTGAGGCGTACCAGGAATTGGTACACTTCGCCAGCACAGAGCGTCACCAATCTGACTTCGGTTTGAGGGTTTGGGTGTAGGGTTTAGGTTTAGGGGTGTTTGGGGTTCCGGGTTTAGATGTTACTGCGAATATTTCAGTTCTGCCTGCTCAGGAATCAATTTTCGCTTTTATCATACGTTTGTGTCGGAGGACATGAACGGCCGACTTGTGAGTGACTTGACCGATTGCTCTCGGTTGAATCCCCCCAGAAATTGCAAACCTTCACTCCATCCACATGATCCCTAAACCTTATGCCCTAAGCCCTAAGCCCTATTTTATAAAGCCCAAAGGCCTAAACCCTACACCCTAACAAGTTAAATCCCCAAACCTGTGCAGCCAAGATATTGCGAGCAGAGTCCACGCCCGGGCGTTGGAGCGAAGCACGCTGCGGCGCTACTATCTTTGGTGACGTGGCAGACATACCCCAACCAATTTGGAAGGTTTAGCTCTGGATGAGAGAGACTGCCTCGAAAGACCCCCCCACCCAGGCCTATACTATAATCCCTTGAACACCAGACTCAGGATAAGTCTAGTTCTGTTGGGGGGGGTTTCAGTCTGAAGGTTCCTTGTCTGTGTTATTAAACTTCTGGTCTTTTTAGGTCTCAGGATTTCGTGTGTGATCTTGGCTGCCAGCTGCTAGGGTTCATTTTACAGGTCGAGGGTTTGGGGTGTGTTGTCCAGAAACCCCCTACAACCCCCAAAGGCCCCAAACCTGCCTCAACCCAAGTACTAATAAGGGTCCATGTACCTATATAGCACACTGGTGCCTTAAAGGGGTCCTCCGTATTGTGCTATCATCTAATTAAACTCCCAAGCCCTGGGATCCCAAAGCCCAAAGCAGGTCTTAGTGTGTTTCCAGCCCGAACTGGTTTAGGGTGGGTAAGTAATATATATAGACATCTATATATATATATATATACAAATATATATATATATATATATATATACGTGTCGATATATATATATATATATATAGGGTTTAGGGTGTAGGTTTTGGTGGGCTTTAGACCTGATGTCAGGCCGGGTTGCGGCTCTGCAGGGCTGTGGGCCCTCTCGGCGACTGTAGAGCCAGGCTCTGAAAACACCCCTGAAAGCAAAAACACATCCCTAAACCCTAAACCCCAAACCCTAAACCCCAATCCCTAAACCCCCAACCCTAAATCCTCCACAAGTATATACGGTTCTAGGGGGGGTACTCTTCCCTCTTGAAGGCCCTTGAAAGTTCGAACTGGCAAAACCCAGACCATGAACCAGTACTAGCTCAAAGCAATATTCGCAACCTTAAACCCTATGCCCTAAACCCTTAAACCTTAAACCACCCTAACCTAGATTCAAGTTCAAGATGCTTCGGGTTTAGTGTGTGGTGTTTAGGGGAACCCTAAACCCCAAACCCTAAACCCTACAGCACCTTGAGCTACCCCTGCAGCGTAATCCGAAAGCTAAACCCATATGACAAGGCCCAGATCTTGCTTGAACAGGAGTTTAGGATTGAGGTTTTAGGGTGTAGGGTTTCGGGTGGTGGAGCGGTCTAAGGCTCATCGCCGACCACTGTGGGTCTGATGATGAGGGCAGTGATGGGATGGATGTGAGTACGGCCTAGCTGCCTGACAACTAGAACACAGCTCAGCTAGCCGCAAAGTCCAAAACCCCGAACCTCCAAATGTGGCAGAGCCCGAGCTCGCATGCACTCAATTGGCGCACCGCGGTACTGACTGCGCAGTGCCAGGGGAAGAAAAGGGTGCAGCAAACACACTTGCCGTGAATCCGGAAAGGGTGCAGCAATCACACTTGCCGTGAATCCGGGACCTATTCCCCCAACAAAAACCAGGCACAGAGTCTAATTTTGTCGACGTCTGGTGGTTGGAGGGTGTTTGCTGTTGGGCGTCTATTTTTTTTATATACGCCTGCAAAAAATCATTTGTAACTGGGTTTACAACCTTTGGAATACGATTGTCAAAAGTACTTTAAATGGGACACATGCACGTCGGCCAACTTTGCTTTGGACAACTTTGCCTGCCTTTGCAGGCATGGCTTTTGAGGCATATACAGCAACCATTTTTGGCTCTTGCAATTTTCCCGAGCGGACACATTTGTCCCTGCAGGCCACATTGTCTCAGAGGCTACTTGGGTCTCGTCTTATATAACTCTGCTATACCTGGATTGCAAGTCTTCTCTCAGAACACACACCCGACCCTTTGGGTAAACCCTAAACCCTAAACCCTAAACCCTAAACCCTAAACCCTAAACCCTAAACCCTAAACCAACCCTTTCTTAAGCCGAACACCCCAGACACCCGTCGCCTGAGGCACCCGACAACGCCATCGTAACCCCGCAAGGTCGCACGGACCAAATTCCCAAAGAGCGGGAGTTTAGGGTTTAGGGTTTGGGGTTTAGGGTTTAGGGGTTTAGGGTTTAGGGTTTTAGGGTTTTAGGGTTTTAGGGTTTTAGGGTTTTAGGGTTTTAGGGTTTTAAGGTTTTAGGGTTTTAGGGTTTTAGGGTTTTAAGGTTTTAGGGTTTTAGGGTTTTAGGGTTTTAGGGTTTTAGGGTTTTAGGGTTTGGGGTTTGGGGTTTAGGCTTAGGATTTAGGGTTTAGGTTTAGGTTTATAGGGGGGATACCTGGAGGTTCATGGGTAGTTAGAAGTTGGGGCTTATACGTAAGGTAGGTCTAGTTGTAACTGGTTATAACCTGCTTTGGGACACTTATAACCCTGCATAGAACTACCCGTGAACCTTTCAGTCGGCTGTGGTAGAGATCAACGAGTTGGGCTTTCAGTATGGTCTTTCGGTTTAAGTCTCATAGGGTTTGGGTCAATATGTCTGCAAAAAGACATTGGAGAAGACCTTGTAAACCCTAAACCCTAAACCCTGGCAAGTCTCTGTTTGCCCTTTCAGGTTCCTCGGTACATTCGACACGTAGGGACAGGTTCATCCGAGGGTCGGTGTATGGACCGGCATTTTCGGTGTGAACTTCGCTGCGTTCATACTGCAGCAACCTCCTTGGGGACCAAGCGAAGCCTATAAGGGTTTATGGTTCATATACCCTAACCGGGAGTATAGTAGTATAGGGTATATAACCCCTATTTTGAGAGTTGTTTCTGCACCCCAAAGTTAGGTTTTGAGCAGGTAACCAGGTGGCCTAAATCTTGTCGAGTGCCCGAACTTCTGTGACCTGAACTGGGATGCAGTTGAGAAACTGAAAGAAATACCTTGCCACAACAGCGCGGATAGATGCAGTAGACTAGCGGAAGAGATGGTTTCCTTGTTTTAAGGCAACATACTTTAAGTCTTGAAACGAAGAGGGAAGCGCTATAGAGGACTCCCAATGGACCCACATTCCCTTTCGGGGGTTTTAGGGTTCAGGGTTTGGAGTTCTCGCAACCCTAAACCCTGAACTCCAAACACTGAACCCTCAACCCGTTTCTTTGTTTTGCTTATTCTGCTAGGATGCCCAGTAGTACCCTTATTCCCTTTTTGGTAGGTTTAGGTCAGGTTCCCTTGTAAATCCCTTTTAAGCAAAAAAGGGCACCCTTTTTCATCCTAGGTTACTGGGGAACCTAGTCTGGGGCGCAGGGTTCAGTGATCGGCCCGGTCGGGGAGCCCCACATCCCAAGAACACCCTGGTGCTTCCGACGTTTTAGGGCCTGAAGGGGCAGGGTTTGGACAAGGGAACCAATGGACTTCAAGGGTTTAGGGTTTAGGGTTTAGGGTTTAGGGTTTAGGGTTTAGGTTGTCGGGCTTCAACGTTTATGGGTTTCAATTTGGGCTCCGCTGAGAACTATCAATTTTGTTCAGCATCTGTCAGCCCACTTCGTGCTTCATGCCCTGAACGGTAAAACCCCAAGCCCCAATTCGGTTTCTGGAAGTTTTCGAGACCTCAAGCCTACCCTGACACCCCAAAGCCCTGAAACCCTGAAACCTTTCAAACTCTAAACCCTAAACCCTGAAACCCTAAAAGCCCTGAACCCCTCAGCCCTAAACCCTAAACCCCTAAAAACCCCAGAGCCCGAGAATCCTAAACCCTATATACAGACCTGAAGCCCCAGGAGTTTGCGCTGGGCTTGCACCTACCGGAGCTACGCGGTGGAGCCACTCCGTGCCTCACCAGGAGGGTTGAGGGTTGAGGGTTTAGGGTTTAGGGTTTGCACCCTAAGGCCCCTAAGGCTCCCAAGGCCCCCGAAGACCCTACACCCCAAAGCCCCAACAAACCCGAATTCCGGTAGGACATGTTAGCTCCCCCCCAAAGTCCGTGGCACGCCCGGAAGCGCATGAGAGCCCAGATACCTCCTTATTTAAGGGAAACAGACGCCCTTGGAGCAAAGGGGCCCCTTACATTGCGAAGTGCGGAATACAGTTTTTGAGCTACCATATTATATGTTTAGATATATATACATATATGCTCGCCCCCCCCCCCATGATCCACACATTTGGCCTCGGGAAGGGGGTTTTGGCAGGGGGGGCGGACTCCAGACTCCAGATTTCCAGAAAAAATCTGGAGTACCCGGGCCCCGGACTCCAGACTCCAGTTTTCCAGAAACAATCTGGAGTACCCCCAGACTCCAGACTCCAGATTTCCGTACCCCCAGACAGACTCCAGACTCCAGATTTCCAGAAAAATCTGGAGTACCTCCAGACTCCAGACTCCAGATTTCCAAAAAAAATCTGGAGTACCGGGACTCTGGACTCCAGATTCTGGAGTCTGTAATCTGGAGTCTGGGGCCGCGAGTACTCCAGATTTTTTCTGGAAATCTGGAGTCTGGAGTCCGGGGCCCGGGTACTCCAGATTTTTTCTGGAAATCTGGAGTCTGGAGTCCGGGGCCCCTGTACTCCAGATTTTTTCTGGAAATCTGGAGTCTGGAGTCCGGGGCCCCTGTACTCCAGATTTTTTCTGGAAATCTGGAGTCTGGAGTCCGGGGCCCGGGTACTCCAGATTTTTTCTGGAAATCTGGAGTCTGGAGTCCGGGGCGTGGGTACTCCAGATTTTTCTGGAAATCTGGAGTCTGGAGTCCGGGGCGTGGGTACTCCAGATTTTTTCTGGAAATCTGGAGTCTGGAGTCCGGGGCGTGGGTACTCCAGATTTTTTCTGGAAATCTGGAGTCTGGAGTCCGGGGCCCGGGTACTCCAGATTTTTTCTGGAAATCTGGAGTCTGGGGTCCGGTGCCCGGGTACTCCAGATTTTTTGTGGAAATCTAGTGTTTTGGTTTTAGTGTGTAGGTTTCAGGGTTTAGTGTTTTGTGTTTAGGGTTGAGTGTTAAGTTTAGGTTTTAGGGTTTAGGGCCAAGCGGCTCGGCTAAAACCCAAATAAAACCCTAAACTCTGAAATCCAAACAGTAAGCATCTGAAACCCCGACGGGTTTTGGTTTCAGGTTTAGGTTTAGTAGGGCTCGAGGTTCTGGCCTTGGGGTTTACTGTTTAGGGTTTAGGGTTTAGGGTCTAATGTTTAGGGTTTAGTTTGAAATGTTTAAGGTTTAGTTTTTGGGTTAAGTGCTAAAGTGTTTAGGGTTTCGTGCTAAGTGTTTGGGGTTTGTGCTAAGGGCTTAGTGTTAAGTTTTTAAGGTTAGTGTTTAGGGTTTAGTGTTGAGGGTTTCGGGTTTGGGTTCTAGGTTAAGGGTTTTTAGGATTTTTACAAATTTAAATGATCTGGGGAAGGCACCGGGGCTGCCCCAGACCATTGACAATTTAAAAAACCCTTCTGTTTAGGCTTTAGGGTTTAGTGTGTAGGGTTTAGTGTGTAATGGTTAGGGTTTAGTTTGTAGGGTGTAGTGTTTAAGTGTTTAGGGTTTAGTGTTTAGTAAGGGTTTAGTGCTTAAGTGTTTAGGGTTTCGTGTTCAGTGTTTGGGGTTCGTGCTAAGGGCGTAGTGTTAAGCTTTTAGGGTTAGTGTTTACGCTGGTGTTTAGGGTTCAGTGCTAAGGGTTTCGGCTTTTTTTTGGGTTAAGGGTTTAGTGTGTAGGGTTTAGTGTGTAATGTTTAGGGTTTAGGTTTTAGGGGTGCTTAGGTGTTTAGGGTTTCCTGTTAAGTGTTTGGGGTTTGTGCTAAGGGCTTAGTGTTAAGTTTTTAGGGTTAGTGTTTAGGGTCTGGTGCTGAGTGTTTAGGGTTTAGTAGTGCTTAAGTGTTTAGGGTTTCGTGTCAAGTGTTTGGGGTTTGTGGGCCTAGTGTTAAGTTTTTAGGGTTAGTGTTTAGGGTCTAGTGCTGAGGGTTTAGGGTTTAGTGTTAAGGGTTTCGGGTTTGTTTTTTTGGATTTAGGGTTTTAAGCATGTTTACTAGTGTTCAGGGTTTAGTGTGTAGGGTTTAGTGTGTAATGTTCAGGGTTTAGTTTTTAGGGTGTAGTGTTTGAGTGTTTAGGGTTTCGTGTTTAGGGTCTAGTGCTTAAGTGTTTAGGGTTTCATGTTAAGTGCTTGGGGTTTGTGCTAAGGGCTTAGTGTTAAGTTTTTGGGTTAGTGTTTAGGGTCTGGTGCTGAGTGTTTAGGGTTTAGAGCTAAGGGTTTCGGGGATGGATTTTAGGGTTAAGGGGTTTGAGGGTTTTTGCAAGTTTACATGATCTGGGGAAGGCACTGGGGCTTCCCCAGACCCACCTAAACATTAAAAATCCTTAAAATCTTATAAAAATCTTTAAGCTTCTGTTTAAGCATTCTCAGGATTATGAAGGTTTTAAGCCGTTTAAGCCTTTTAAAGACCTTAAATTGCTTACGTATTTAAGTGGCTGCCCTTTGCGGATTTTAGAGATTGTTGAAGTTGCCAATGGTCCGGAGAAGCCCCGGCGCCTTCCCCAGACAATATAAAATTTTTAAAATCCGTAAAGTCCTGAAAGTCTTACAGTTGTAAATGGCTGTCCTTTTAAAGTTTAAAGATTTTAGGATGTTCAATTCTAAAATCCGTAACTTCCTTAATTTTAAACGGCTGCCCGTTTTAAATTTTAAAGAATTTTAGACTTTTGAGGGATAAACGTTTCGAGGTTGTTAAGGGCTTAAAGCCTTTTAAGACCCTTTAAATCTTGAAATTTTGAAAGGCTTTAAATACCTTAAAGCCCTTCAAATTTGAAAAGGGCTGCCCCTTTTAAGGATCTTTAAAATTGCAAATGGTCTGGGGAAGCCCCGGTGCCTTCCACAGATCCTTTAAATTTTTACAAACCCCTAAAACCTAAAACCCTGAAAAGCCTTAAGCTTCTAAATGGCTACCCTTCTAAAATTTTACAGAGCCGCAAAACACAAGTTTCAGAAGCAAAATGCACATAAAAACACTAGTGTTTTTATAGAGGATAATATAATAGAGCTTTTTGTATTCCAGTGCAGTTTTTACTGCATTTTTCCGGTGAAAAAACAGAAAATCAGACAAAGACGAAGACAGGAAAACCATAGGTGTGGATCATGGGGGGGGGGGGTGACCACATATATATATATACATATATATATATATACATATATATATACATATATATATATATTGTATATATATATATATTATGCATTATCAGCTTCAGGGTGCTATTATGTTTTGCGAGGGTGCTTCGTACACCCCTGAACCTGGCTTGAGACAGCTCGGTGCTCCTCCCTAAGCTCACGATAGCCCCGGCAACGCCATACAAAGTATGCCCTGAGCCCTAAACCCTATATAAACCCTAACTCTAAACCCTATAGCCCCAAGAATCCTAAAGCCCCCTAACACACCCGAACCCTAAAAACACTAACCCCCGGTTAAAGGCGAAAAGCCACAAGGTCTGTGGCATTCTGAGCACGGTTCAGGGGTACGGGTTCAGGGTCGGACTTTTGGGCAGGAAGGAGCCTGGGTCTGACCCGGTCTTCATAGATTCATTTCTTGGGTTTTTGTCGGGCTTCTGGGTTTCTCGGGCGTGGGGTCGAAGACCGAATCCTGGCTTGCCTCCTAAACCCTAAACCTTAAACCCTAAAACCTAAACCCTAAACCCTAAACCCAATTGAGCGGCTGGGCAGGATGCCTCCTGGGTGACTTTGTTGGTGGAGAGTTCCCCAGGCCAAGCTTATAGCAGGTTTGGGCAGAATCCACCCTTAATCCTAGGGTTTAGGGTTTAGGGTTTAGGGTTTAGGGTTTAGGGTTTAGGGTTTAGGGTTTAGGGTTTAGGGTTTAGGGTTTAGGCCCTAAACCCAAACCCTCGAGTCCATTTCGGGGTTTGGTTGACCTTGACGCCACGTCGTGACACTGGGCGAGGTCTTCAAGACGACCTTTGAGAGCTTAAAGCTGTGCAAAAACAAACGCATCCAGAAAGAGCTCTGCCCACAGTCCTGGGGCAAAATGGTCGCGTTTAGGGTTCAGGGTGGCTTCTGCCCTACTTACTAACCAATTATAACTTTAACTGTACTTGTAACCCACTTATAAGCCCCTTAAGTGCCCTAATATGGCTATAAGTACAGTTATAATAAGTAGAGTTATAATTGATGAATAAGTACCATGAACCTCGAAGTAGTTAGAATCGGACCTAAATCTATGTCGGACAACTCCCTCCCTCCCCAAGTATGAAGGAACAAGCTGCTCCAGCTGCAGTTTCTACTCATTTTGGGTTTTGGGTCGGGGGCAACTCCTAAACTAACGCTACCCGAAGTCCTAAGTCCTAAGCCCCATCTGTTCCCTCAAGCCCCAAGCCCTGCACCTTCCCAACCCTCAGCCCGAAGCCCCAAGCCCTAACACACCAGACGCTGCACACAACCCCTTAAGACCCCAAATCCCCCCAACCCGTTTGCCCCTTTCACCCTTACGCCCTTTAAACCTTAAACCCTTAGACCCTTAAGAACCCAAAGCCTGAGAACCGTCTAGCCGTCTTAACCCCTTAAGCCCCTTAAGCCCTAAACCCTTAACTCTGAGACCCTTAAGCCCTAAACCCTAAACCCTAAACCCTAGACCTTGAGACTCCTTAAACTCGATTGCCGCAGGGCTCTTCATCAAGCCGAGTCGCCTGGATGGCTGGAAGAAGGTCGCCTTCGCTCGTCCTGGACCCCGGCTGGGGTTTCGGGTTTCGGGCTCCTAAATCCTAAACCCTAAACCCTAAACCGCTCCAGCGCTCTAGTAGGGCGTTGGCTGCTTTCGGGTTTGGGTTTTTCTTTGCCTGAACTCCTCCATTCAGGTATCTACAGATATATATTCATTGAAAAGTCCAAGGGCCCTACATCCTTGGTTGGTGTTTAGGGTTGAACTCCTGGACACCAGGTGCCCAAAATGCAGAGATTGCTGTAATAAACCCTAAACCCTAAACCTCTTCATTGTGGAGGGCATTTGATAGGTCCGGTGTCTGGGTGTAGGGGGTAGGAGGATTGAACCCCTCCCTGCCACCCCACCTCCCCCACCCTCTACCCGCACCCCTGACCCCCTGCATTTGGGCTCTCAAGCAAGTCGTTCTTTGGGAATCTGCAACTTGGACCAGGGCGTCCATAGATCTAGGATAGTTTCAGGTGGGTAGGTAAGACCCAAAACCCTCAAAACCCTCAAAACACTAAAAACCCTAAAAACCCTAAAAACCCTAAAAACCCTAAAAACCCTAAAAACCCTAAAAACCCTAAAAACCCTAAACTCCAAACCCCAAACCCCAAGCCAAGCCCTAAACTTCCAGACCCCCAGCCCCAGACGCCGAACCCTAAACCCTAAACCCTAAACCCTAAACCCTAAACCCTAAACCCCAAACCCTAAACCCTAAACGCTTAGCCCCATTTTCCTTCAAGAAGTCCGCATGGTCTTCCAGGGCGCATACTGGTGCTCGTCGGCGCGGCCCTGGCGTTGGCCTCCGAGGGTCATTTAGGGTTTGGGGTTTAGGTTTGAGGGTTTGGGGTTTAGGGTTTAGGGTTTTAGGGCTTGGGGTTTGGGGGTTGGGGTTTGGGGGGTGGGTGTGTGGGAGTTTGGGGTTTCGGGTCTGGGGTTTGGAGTTTAGGGTTTGGGGTTCAGGTTCGGGTGTTGCGGTTTTAGGGCTTGGGGTTTAGGTTTGGGGGTTTGGGGTTTGGGTTCGGGGTTTGGGGGGCTTAGGGTTGGTAGGTATGGGGTAAATTTGGCCTAAAGGCTGCTTCCTCCGTTGGTGGAAGGTCTTGGAACGTCACTCCCCTAGGCCACAAACCCTGTCGACCAAAAGCACCCTATAAATGATGTTGTATACCCTTTACTACTATAACCCTAGAGGGTACATTTGGTCCCCCAGGAAGGCTTCAGACATTGCACGGCTTTAGGGCTTCGGGTTTTAGAGAGGTTTAGGGTTTTAGGGTTTAGGGTTTAGGGTTTAGGGTTTAGGGTTTAGGGTTTAGGGTTTAGGGTTTAGGGTTTAGGGTTTAGGGTTTAGGGTTTAGGGTTAGGGTTTAGGGTTTAGGGTTTAGGGGGCCCTGAAGGTCACTACCCAGCGCCCTGCCATGCTGTAGAGGCCAGGCCTCCCTGTTCTCTCCTTCCCCAGGTCCGCATCTGCCACTCTCGCACCCTATCTCATTCTCTCTCTCTCTCTCTCTCTTTTTCTCTCTCTCTCTCTCTCTCTCTTTTTGTTTTTTTTTTTGTTTTGTTTTTCTCTCTCTCTCTCTCTCTCCCTCTCTCTCTCTGACTCGCTCTCTCTCTCTCTCTCTGACCCGCTCTCTTTCTCTCTCTCTCTCTCTCTTTCTTTCTCTTTCTGTTTCTCTTTCCATCCAGCACTAGGCTTTAGGCTTCAGGCTTGTAAATGTATGTGCAAGAGAAGCACATTTGCAGCGGCGCCAGCACCCTCTGTGTTGAACATGTCTATAGGTGGCACTTGGTTCCGACATTAGAGGCATTCCAGCTGGCTTCTTCTGCTCTTGGCTTACTCTATTACAAGTGTCTCAACACATGGTGCACTTGGCCGTGTTTGCTTGTGCGGAATTCTGGTAGAGTTTGCCAGCTGATGCGATGCCTGTTCTGACAGACTGGGCCCCCTGATGAATTCGCGTATCTGCTCTACACCCTAAACCCCAAACCCTAAACCCTAAACCCTAGACCCCGAAACTGCTCTCTGACGGTACAGGTTCCCACTTCCTTTCGCCTCTCTTGGGCCTGGATTTCGCCCGCACATGTTTGCGGCTCGGCCGGGAGATATGCCCTTCTCGCAACCTCCTTGATTTATGCATTCTGCGCACCATAGTACCCTAAACCATAAACCCTAAACCCTAATCCCTAAACCCTAAACCTCGCAACTGCAAGAATATTAAAGATTCGTCATCATGAGCTTTGAACTGCAAGACTATGCCCAGGCCTAGTACGATCCAACGTTTTTTTTGCAAGTGCTACACTCTTCTCAACATGCTGGCATGCTACTGCGACGCTGAATGAATGTTTTTGCACTTGCCTTTGCCCTGAGCCCGAAGCACCCTGATCACGAACCTGGTCCTGCAGGCTTCTACAACCCCGCAAACCAGCTTCATTTGTCCCAATGTGGCGTGGTCCCGACCTCAGCCCAAGCAGGTTGGGGGTGTGGGCCTCTTGATTGAACCCTTGAAGTGGTATTGTTTCTGCATGACGTCAGCCACAGTGCCGTCAGTAGATGCTCTTTCCGGCTTGTGCATGCCTGCTCCTTGTTAAGGCTCTGCCCGATGAATCCCCTGCGCACTTGCGCCTGCATGGACCTGTCTTAAGGCACTCCAAGTGATTTTTTAAACCAAGGATGCTTATCGGTCCGTTTAGAGGGAAACTCGGGAACCCAAACCCTCACCCTAAACCCTAAACCCACGACGAAAGTACCTTGCAGAGTTGGCTGGAAACTTATTCAGTTTAGGGTTCAGGGGCTCGATGCATACCCTGACCATGCGAGCACACAAGTCTTGAACCCTGAACCTAAACCTTAAACCCTAACCCTTCACCCCTAAACCCTAAACCCTAAACCCTGAACCCTAAACCCTAAACCCTCAACCCTCAACCCTAAACCCTAAACCCCAAACCCCAAACCCTAAACCCTAAACCCTAAACCCTAAACCCTAAACCCTAAACCCTAAACCCTAAACCCTAAACCCTAAACCCTAAACCGAACGAGGGCAGCCGTAGAGCTGAAGGTCTGGCGTCCTGAGCTGTCAGCGCCGTCCGATTGCCATGACACGGATTTGGTGGGAGGCACCGCGGGGACTCGGTCCTGCATGCTCAGGTTTAGGATTTAGGGCTTAGGGTTTAGGATTTAGGGTTTAGGGTCTAAGAATTTAGGGTTTAGGGTTTTGGATTTGGGGTTTAGGGTTGAAGGTTTTGGGGTTTATACTTTGTTTGTGGAATTTGGGGGGGTCGTTTGGGGATGAAACTCCCAGACCCATGGTCCGATCAGGGTTTAGGGTGTAGGGTTTCAGGGTTTAGGGTGTAGGATTTAGGTTTAGGGTTTAGGATTTAGGGGGATCCAGGGTTTTGGGTTGAAGGTTTTGGGGGTAGACTTCGTTTGTGGAATTTGGGGGGGTCGTTTGGGGATGAAACTCCCAGAGCCATGGTCCGATCATTCCCTCAGAACCAGGGGGTTTTGTTTGTCCATGTGATGTGAATTGCACTCTTTTCCTTGAAGTATGGCGGGGTATATGATGGGCACCCCTGCCTTGGGAAACGCCCATACGTGTACGCGATTCACACTTAGGTCTTAGTAGGCTGGGTAGGATCCGTGAGTACTTGCCCCCTAATTAACCCGAAAACCCAAAATCGAGCCTACAGACTCTAAACCCCATGAGCCCTTAGACTCTTAAACTGCAATTCAACCCACCCGAAACCCGAAATCCTAAGCCCGAAACCCTCCTAAACCGTCAAACCCTGAGCTGTTAGCCCGGCAGCTGTGCCGCTCGGGGTTTCGAGGGGTCGAGATACGACCCTCGAGCCCTGCACCCTTCCTCCCCATAGGGTTTCCGGTTCAGGGTTTAGGGTTGAGGGTTTAGGGTTGAGGGTTGAGGGTTTAGGAGTTCGGCTTCCTCCCCCCCCCCCGCCGCCCGCCCACCCTTCCCCGCAATAGTTTAACATTTGGGTGCTTAGGGTTCAGAGCGGGGAGGCTGTGCCGGGAAGCTGGCGGGAAGTTTAGTACCTATGCAAATCCCTTCGAGGGGTGTGTGAGGGGGGGAACAAAGTCTTTACCTCAGCCCCGACTCCCCCTACTCCCCTACGAAGAGCGCCGAAGAGCTTGGGACCCTAAACCCTCTAGAAACCTCCTCAACACCCTAAAACCCTAAACCCTAAACCCTAAACCCTGAAACTCTAGTCTTACGGCAAGGCCGTGGCTCACGTGCTCCACTTTCAGCGGATTACGGCTCGTACCCCTAAGGTCGCACCCCTAAAGGTTCCCCTGAATCTACACCCGAAACCCTAAACCCTAAACCCTAAACCCTAAATCCTAAACCCTAAACCCTAAACCCTAAACCCTAAACCCCTAATCTGGCCCTTATTACTACCTTCAGGATCTTGAAAAGGCTTCCCCCAAGCACTCAAGGGGACCTCGAGGTTCCAAGGTACACCCCGCAGACACTTGGGATGCTGGCTGCTGAACCCAAACCCCAAACCCTACCCTGACCCTAAACCGTGAACCCTAAACCCTGAACCCCCTAAACCCAAAAACCTGAACCCCCTAAACCCTAAACCCTAAACCCTAAACCCTAAACCCTAAACCCTAAACCCTAAACCCTAAACCGCATGGAGCGCGGAGGTGGGATGCTCGGGCTCATGAAGCGCCGAACCTCGGTGCTGCCACTCGATGTTCGACGTGTCCTGGCTTGGTGTATGGAGGGTTTTAGGGTTTAGGGTTTGGGGTTTGGGGTTTGGGGTTTGGGGCTTGGGGTTTGGGGTTTGGTACATTCCTCCTCTCTGCTTAGGAACCGCCCCCCTCCCCCCCCCCCCAAGCACGCAAGCCCCCGTTCTCTCAATTAAGCGGAGATTCAAAAAACAAAATCGAAAAGTCAAAAGTCGAAAAGTCGAAAAGTTTTCGACTTTTCGACTTTTTGACTTTTTTCGGGACTTTTCGGGACTTTTCGGGACTTTTCGGTTTTTCGACTTTTCGGACTCGCGCCCCCCCCCCCCCCCCCCCAAGAAAAAAAGAACAAAACGAAAAGTCGAAAAGTCAAAAAGTCGAAAAGCAAAAAATAGAAAGGCGTAAAAGTCGGCAAAGCCCAGATAAGTCGAGAACTTGCGAAAAGCGTCTTGAAAGGGAACTTCACGATTCTCCATTACATGCAACAGTCTCTTCAACGAGCCACTAACCAAAGCGTCACGCTCGACCCTAGAGGCTTTCAACCTTACGACCTGACACTTTCAAGCCCCAGTCCTCGAGTCTATAAACCAGACAAGGCTTCTTCTTATATCATCAACCACAAGCCGCTGCGTGCTGCTCGCTTTGGGCATCCAGTCCACCCCTTCCCCCCCTCGTTCACGTTTCGACTTGCAGATGCTTTTCGCAAGTTCTCGTCTTATCTGGGCTTTGCCGACTTTTACGCGTTTCCATTTTTTTGCTTTTCCACCTTGCGACTTTTTGACTTTTCGACTTTTCGGGACTTTTCGACTTTTCGACTTTTCGACTTTTCGGAACTTTTCGGACTTTTCGCGTGAAGCTCTTGTCCAAATCCACTTTTCGACTTTTCGACTTTTCGGGTTTCTCTGTCCGTACTCCACTTGCGGCCTCGGACTACCGTTCGCAATCACAGGGTCCCCCCCCACCTTTTTCTTCACCCTAAACCCCAAAGGCTTTGCAAATCAATGAAAACAGTTAGGTTACCGACGTCCTGAAATTTCAGCCCCGTCATCGTTGTGCATGGGCCACAACCCTATAAGCCTTAAGTGCGGCCCGGCCCTGCCCTCTGCGCCCTATGGCCGATTACGAGGTTTAGTGTTTAGGGTTTAGTGTTTAGTGTTTAGGGTTTAGGGTTTAGGGTTTAGGGTTTAGGGTTTAGGGTTTAGGGTTTAGGGTTTAGGTCATTCTGTTTCTTTAAGGTTCCAAGGGCATGGTTACGGTTTTCTGGGTGTCCCAATCGGCTTCGATGCCCATCCTCCAGTTAGCTAGCATGATGGTAGCATGTACCAAGAAGACATACCCCCCCCCCCCCCCCCCTAAACCCTAAACCCTGACCCCTAAACCATACACCCAAGCCCTAAACCCCAAACTCCCAGACCCTAAACCCTAAGCGCTAAACCCTACCCTAAACCCTAACCGCTCCACGCAGAGGTTTTTAATGGCCAACATCGTATATTGGTAGACACTACACGGGTACATGGGCCCTCTTGGAGCGGGACCCTCGGGAAAGTGTTAGGGTTTAGGGTTTAGGGTTTAGGGCTGAGGTAGAAGTATCTAGAGTCGACCCAAATTGGTGGATCCGCCCTGAGGGCCTCAACATAAACAAGCCCGGTGGACACATGTGCCTGAACCCTAAACCCTAAACCCTAAGCTCGGTACCCAGGCTGGTGAACATAGGTTCCGGGTGAGCGGAGTTTTGGGCTTCTCACTGCCCACAGCAGACAAGGACCGAACCGTCTGAGACATATCTGGAGTATTTGAGGGCTTGGGGGTTGAGGCTTCGGGTTACTTGGGATAACCCTTTCTAGGCTTACTGCAACAGTCAAGGTACTTTGATTTTTTGGAAACTTTTGTAGTTTGTAGAAGTACCAGGTTCTAGGAAGCTTCGACATTTGCTGCCGAGATGCAGCTTGGCGGACTCTTGAGACTGTATACCCTGTCGGTGTCAAGAGAGGGAGTATTTTCAGCCAGGTTAAAGAGCCAACCCAGGAAGTTTGCTACTCTTGATATGTCATGGGGGGGCGGAGGCGGGGGGGGGGGGGGGGACAGTCACGAACCAAGAGCCTCAACGCACAAGGAATTATCTGTATTTAAGTCTTGTAGGGCTGTGTGGTTTGTTCGCGTAATCATCCAGGATCCAGTGGTCATGGCCAGCGAAGTTTCCCCCAAGGACATTGGGCGATGTGCAGAGCAGGAGCATATTCCGCGAAGTCCACTGCAGCAGCCGTCTTTCGGTGAGAACCACTACAGAGTAGTGTTCGAAGAGCATGCGACTGCCCTCGTGAGCTGGGGCAAGAGAAGGTTGATGAAGACGAAAAGGTTCACCACTGCGACGACCCAGATATATAAAGACCCCTTTATGGTTGTTTTGGACTCGCTCCGTCAAGTCTTCAACCACCAGATCCAGCCCGTCAATGCAGCTCATCATGCACGTGATCCAATCTTTGGGTTCCAAGTGCCGGCACACCTTGGGGGGGGGGGGGGGGGGGAATGGCAGCTCGCGCAATGGAATCATCAGTCCATCTCATCGTGATGCGCTGACTGCCGTGTTTGGGTTACTGTTGCCTTGAGCTTTTTTTGTTTGCAAAACAGCCGTGCTAACAGAGAAGGCAGTAGCGGTGATCATGCAGTTGCACTTTCGCTGCGCAGGTTTGCATTGCATGCCTTTGGGGCATCAGAGCTGATACATGAGCAGAGGATCCCGAGCAAGCGCTTCCAGTTGCAGTCATGCTCAAGGTCTCCGGCCTTTTGCAGCGTGGCTTCCATCCGACGTCATGTCCCTCTCCCGCAACGTCATCGACTCGGAATGGACCTCATGTTGGCAAGCATGATTGCTGTACAGTGCTGCATCCTGCTGGCTATGTCCAGTGCGCAAACGAGCCCCTGCGTGCGCACACCTCGCCTGCAGAGGTACCCTTACCCTCTTTTTGTTGGTTCTGGGTTCCCTTATAAAGTAGCCAACCCAAGCAAAGGGGCCTTTGTTATAATATTGGTTGCGGGCTACCAGGGTATTTCCCAAAATAGGGGTACCCCGTTTATACCCCAAATAGACTAGAATCCCTTAAAGGGACCCCAACCCTAAACCCGAAACCCTTTAAACCCTTAACTACCCTAAACCCTAAGCCCGAAACCCTAAACCGCTAAAAAGGGTACCCTTATTCTCGTAAACCCCTACCAAGAATCCAGAGCTCTGCCCTCGAAGCACAGCATCCTGAGTTTGAGCGCAAGCTCTTTATTTGGGCTTGCGAAGGCCTTACTTGGGGAGTAATTATGGTGCCTGACATCGCCAGGTTCAGGGTTTAGGGGTTGGTTTGGGTTCAGGGTTTGGG